CAAAGCTAACTGCAACAGCCATCTGATCGCATGCGGCAGAGCGTCCCGAAGGCCGCTTCTTTTTTGCCTGCGCACCCCGCGACTGGCAGCAACAAGTGACACTTCATGGCCATTCGCCACGGTATCGAAAACAAGAGGGTGTGCACCCTGCTTTCCATCTACATTTTGGACAGCCTCTCGGATACATTTTCAATGCATTCGGTGGCTTGCTTCCCTTGGCACCCTTCTTGGCCTTGGACACTTTCATCACAGCTGTCGATGATTTCACCGACTTGGAACTACTGGCTGTCGATGGTTTCACCAACTTGGATTCACTGGCTGCTGCCGGACGTTTCAAAGCAGACCCACCCGCAGCTGGCCGTTTCAGGATTGGAGCTTGCTTCCCCTCCATCTTCTCCCGCAGATTCTGCATGACATAATCAAACGCGTTCGGATCCTGCAACGCATGAATTGCACAGATCACAACCGCCCCAGCTGCACTTTTCAAACCAAAATGGATAAATGAAAAAAACAAGATTGGGCGATTGGTCAAGGAACCACACATCTAAAGAAACACATATGTTTGTACATCACACAAACACTAGATATTTATATACGTTAATTATACCTGGAAAATGAAATCTCATAACATGAATAGATTCGAAGATAAGATCAAACACATCTTCATGTTCTTGTTTGATGTTTCTAGGAGTCCGCATCTTCGACCTGTCCTTGCTACCCACTTTCTTCTCCTGGTTCTGCTTGGGCCCTGATGGCGGTTCATCAGGAGCCAGGGTTGGCAATGCAACCTGAGTTTGAGGAGCCTTGGTTTGCAACGCAGCCGGGGTTTCAGGAGCTTGGGTTTGCAATGCACCCTGGGTTTGCGCTGCAAGCTGGGTTGGCTGAGGGGCCTGGGGTTGCAATGCGCCCTGGGTTTGCATTGCAAGCTGGGTTTGCTGGGGAGCCTGGGGTTGCAATGCGCCCTGGGTTTGCATTGCAAGCTGTGTTGGCTGAGGAGCATGGGTTTGCAAGTCAGGGTTTTGCAATGTTGGCACTGCGCACTGAGTTGGCCCATTTTCCTGTGTTGGGGCTGCAGCCCGGTGAGGAGCTGCAGCCGGGGTGGCCCAAACATCTGGCTCATAGGCATTGGCGGGCTCATTCATCAGAGCAAGCTGGCCAGGTGGTGGCTGCACAGATTGGCCTGGTGGCGCTCGAAAAGAGCCACGTCGCTGAAGAGCATCCATGTTGATCTGAAGGTTGGGCAGGGCAGGCTGTCGTACATCCTGAAGGCGTGCCAACATTTGTTGCAACTCCTGGCTCATACCACTTCCCCCGGCCCCATGGCTGTAATCGATCATCGGCACCAAGCTGGAGGGTGGCATTCTTTCACGGATGTTTGAATGGATGTGAGTGAGCCTGGCCACATCCACTTGGATTTGCGTCACTGGTTCATCTTTGAAGGCCTCATCGAAGAAAGGTCGATGAAGCTCCGAGGGGTCATGGCTCAGCTCCACGATGAAGGGCTGCACTGAGAGAGAAAATGCAGCCAACTCTCTCTTGATAATGCCCTTCACATGTTCAAAGACACGGTGCAGCGCATGCTGGTCCATCCTGTCAGCAACTCGATACAGCAGCAATGCAGTGACCTTACTGCAAGTTTTCTCAGAGGGTAAGCGTAAACCCAACTTCCCCAAATGACGAGCAATGGGTACCAGGGCGTTCACAAGCGGATTGTCGCCCAACACAAGAAGCCACAGCGAATTGGTCAGGTAGCTACAAAAGTGCTGGTAGTTCTGCTGCGGTCTCCTCCCACCTTTGGCTGCAGATTGGGACAACGGCTGCACCGCCTGCATCTTTTGACTCACATCTAGCTGCAGCTGGCTTAGCTGATCAGGTGTGACGGGAAGATCTGCCACAAGGCCCACGACTTCCGTAATTGTCTCCATGGGCATACTTGGCCACTGCTGGATCTTCAACCTGCAGTTTTCGTATTGCTCATCTCGCATAGTCAGGAAGTTCGCATGGTTGGCCATGGTGACCAAAAAACGCTGCACAGCTGAAAAAAAATTCGCTGCTCTGACATGATGGCTGACCACTATCAAGAAGAACACAAACAAAACTTAAACCAAAATTGCGCCAGTGAGTTCTGACTTCGCTTCCCTGTGCACGTGCGCAAGTCTAGCAGCAAAAAGCAAAACAACAACAAAGCGTCCAGTGGGCCGCTCCAACATGATCCAATGCCATGGAAGCATTGACTGAACATAAGCACATGAAGCACACACACACACACACTTAATTATGCGAAGACATAAACAAGACAGAAAGGACAATGGAGGGACTAGAGAAAGAGATAGTATGAACGTCAAAGAATCTGAAACCTAACATTAAAAATACAAAAACAAGGGATGAAGATAAGTAGAAATAAGTAGAAAATAAGTAGAAATAAGTAAAAATAAGTAAAAACTAAGTAAAAATAAGTGCAAAATAAGTAAAAATAAGTGCAAAATAAGTAGAAATAAGTATCCAAAAATGTTATAAAATAAGTAGCTTAACTAGCTAAGTTACTTATAAGTTCAATAAGTAGAACCCTGACACTTATCCTACTTATAAGTTAAAAAGTCCTACTTAAGCTACTTATCGGACTACAACTATATGTTATTGCACTACAAGTAGAACTTGATGATACTTAAAGTATCTGAGCTAGCCTCAAGTAGGGAATAGTCACAAAGTAAGTGACCGCGCTAAACTTACAAGTTCGCCAAAGTTAACTGTGCATCTTGCGCAACATGCAAGTTTGCCAACATTATGTTAGCAGGCTTGCAAGTCTACGTGGATGGCTTGCAAGTAACTTAGCAAGTTCGCTTTCTGCTGTAACTAAATACAAGCGCAGCGCTCATCCAAGAAGGGAAAGCGATCGCGACGCTCCGCTGGTGCTTGTGTCGACGGAGGGCGCGGCCGGGTCTGGTCCGCGTCTTCGCGACCAGATCGCCGTAGAAGAAAAGGAAGTTCCCTTGCCCGTTGCCGATGTAGACGTGAGTCGGGAGCTCACGCCGGCTGAAAGGGAAGCGCTCGATAAAGAGCTTGAAGAACTTGCGCCCAAAATGGATTCGCTTTGGAAGGGTCGCGCTGACCGTTCCGAATGGGACGAAGTGAAAGCCGACTTGGAAGTCTATCGGCTCAGTGGCGAAACGGTCTTGGAAGACCCGTGCCGAAAGGAGACGTATCGCCAAGCTGTGCTCGAAGGCCTGGGTTTTGGCGATGATGCCGCTGAACGGCGGCCGGGCATGAGCTCGGATGATCTCGCCGCGTGTAAGGAGGTCTTAGGCAGAAAGGCCGCTGGTTTCTGGTTGGAAGATCCCTACCCCGTTGTGGCTATAAACGGTGGGGGGACCTCCAGGAAATGTAACTTAATTTTTGGGTGGGGAGGGGGGGGCGAAATTAATGTAAGTTACGTTTTGGAGGTCCCCAAGCCATTAAATATCTAAATGTAACTTCCCCCCCTAGGTACTTAACTACGTCTTGTTCTTAGTGTTCCCCAGGAATTTCCTGGTTAGAATATGTTAGAATATCGTGCGCGCTCTTGTCTTGTGGAGAGAGGGGGGGGAAAGGTAACTTCCCCCCCTAGGTATTTCTTCAGCTTTTGCACCAATGCTCTGCCGGGAAAAATGTGGCTCAGTCTTGTTGTCTCCCACGTGTGTTCCACCCACGTATTCTGAGCCTGGGCCATGTTGATTTTCAAGTCACTAGATAATACTAGATGCAGAAACCTCTAGAAAATGTAAGTTACATTTTTGCCAATATGTAAGTCACATTTGGGCAGAAAATGTAAGTTACATTTGTGCTTTCCCAGGGAAATGATGGGGGGGCCTAAATGTAAGTTACATTTTTTAAAATTGTAGCTTCATGTTCTGGCAAAATGAAATCTTACATTTTTGAGGTGGTTTCTATGGAAAAATGTAACTTACATTTCCCGGAGGCCCCCCCTCACAACACGGTAGGGATGTTGGAAGGGAGTCCCCGCACCACCGTGCGGAATGTGGCGCATGACTGTGTGCCGACGGGCCCACCAGTCAGCCTCCAACCGCATTCCCTCAAAGGAGAGAGCGCGGCGTGGGTGGATGAGCGCCTCGAGGAAGAAGTGGCTCGAGGGCAGCTCGTTCGGGGTTCCTCAGCTCGGGGCAGCCCGCCGTTTCCCACCAAGGAGGCGCCGGCGCACAAGAAGCATAGGAAAAGGCGTCTTGTGGTTGACTACAGACGAGTCAACGCCAGGGTGCTTCGAAGCACCTATTACTGCCGGAAGGCTACAGACGTGTTGGCGCGTCACAGGGTTCAACCAGATCCAGAACACGAGGAGGGCCATGGAAGTTTTGGCCATCGTGGCTCGGTCAGGAAAGTTCTTGCCAGTCTGTTTGACTTTTGGTCCTGTGAATGGGCCAGACGATTTCTGTTTTGTTGTTGACAGAGCCTTTGGCCCGGGCCGCGGCAGAAAGGCGCGGTTCGCCCGTGAATGGATCACCTATGTGGACGATCTCACGGTCCGAACGGGCAGGGTGATCGACGGACAGTTCCTGACAGATGCAGAGCGCGATAACGAGATAAAGAAGGCCACGAAGACTGGCCCGGCTCTCGCTCCACAACCCGCCTCAGATGCGCTCGAGGCGCTCGGCGTCCAACCATTAAAGGGGCTTGGATCGTCAGCTGAGAAAAAGGAGAAGCACGATGAGCGGGTGTCTGATCACAACCGCCCGACGCGGTGCCTGGCGTTGGTTCACTCTGGGGCACGGCCCGTTAGGTTCCCTAGGTTGATCAGAATCTGGGGTTGTCGATTGGGGTTCGTCGTTCTGGGTTCGTGTTTTCCGCACTTCGCGACACAGCCGTTTCGATCCGACCGGGGCTTGGGCAGAGCTGAGGGGCGTACCGGGGGTGCCGGGTCACGTGAAGAGAGCGAGAGCACGCGAAGGGTCGCGCGGAGTAGCCTTGCGGAGCTCTGGGAGAAGGAGCCCAGGACTGCAAGCCAGCGCATGGCTGAGACGGCCCTCAGTGCATTTGCTTCGGGCGAGCACAGGCACCAGGCAGGGCCCAGCCAGCCAGAGCCTGCGGAGGCCGCTGTGCGAAGTAGCAAGCGCAAGCGGGGTGGCTTGAAGCACAAGAAGTCGCACAAAAAGCTGCGCAGGGCCAAGAAGAAGACGCCTTCCGCGGCGGAGGTTCGCCGCTTTCGCGCGGTCTGTCGCAAGCGGTCGCGCAAGAAGACCAGGCGCGCGTGGGCCTTGTCTCACAAGGCCCGCAACAGGAGGCTGCGCGCTCTCCACGGGAATGGGGTGCTGCAGCTCAACCACCTAGTCGTGCAGCGGTTTGCTTCCTTGCGGTGCCTGTGCTTCGAGAGACCGATGAGGTCCTGGATGTGGCCTCTGAGGCGCTTCAGGATGTGATCCTAGAAGGAAGCGCTCAGGTGCGGAGCGCGCTGAACGTCGTGGGTATGGGGGTCCAGATGGTGGCGGTCTGGTTCGTTTCCACGATGATGATGAATCTGTGGCAGCGTTGCAGGAACGGCAACACTGCTGAATACGGAGCCCGGTTGACAGAGCTCACTGACGGAGGGTCGGTGTGGGTGGTCAAGTCCAAGCGAGGAGCTTTCCACCAAGTCAACCTAAAGAAAGGGCATGCGAGCTGCGCTTGCCGACAGTATGTGGAGGAAGGTGTGCGCCCTCACATCAAGGCAGCTAAAGAGCAGCTGAAGCGGCTGGCGCTTCCGTCTGAGCCGGCGGAACCTCCAAAGGTAGAGAGGCCTTCGGTGGCCAGTGCGCGCGGGAAGGCAGCTTTAGGACAGCCAGCTGCCCTTCTAGAATCCAGTTGGGGTGGATGCTTCAGTGGGCTTGTGGCTAAGGCCCGTGGGCTCCAAAGAGACGACCAGCGTTGGAGAAAGAGCCATCCTTACATCGCCAGGCCAGCCCACTGCGCGAAGCGCTGCCCAAGGAGAAGGGTCGAGGGGATCGGCCGGAGCCGCTGGCCTTGCAGGACAGCAAAGCTTCCACTCCGGAGCTGCTTCCGGAGCCATCCCTTCAGACTGATGTTGAGCTACTTGTGAACACAGCGAGCCAGGATCGGATCTTGAACATCTTGGCCGGCGCTGGAGAAGTGATGATGACTGCGTACACGTTCGATCAGCCCGACGTGGTGGACAGTCTCATCAGGCGCCCTGGAGTTACGAGACTCCTTGTTGATCGAGGCCAGAGCGTGGGTGAGCGGACAAAGCTTCAGAGGCAATCTCTGTTGCAGGTGGCCCGCGCAGGCATCCGAGTGCGTCTGACCGCAGGATCTTCGATTGCGGAAGCTTACGCCGGGGATCGCCGTGGCACGTCCGTTGGCAAGAGCCTCAAGGGCATCCAGCATTCAAAGACTTTCTGTCTGAGGGGCGCAGAAGGAGCACCAAGCTTCCTGGTCGTGGGAAGCTCAAACTACACCACGAGTAGCAGGGCGAACGTGGAGCTCGGGTTGCTGGTCAGCGGGCCTTGGGAGGATGAAGTCTTCCATGCGTACACCGACCAGTTCGAGCGGCTCTGGGCCGTCTCCGAGATCTTTGGAGGACCCTCCGGAGAAGGAGACGAAGCCGTCGCGGAGGCGCGTGACGTGCAAACAGAGCCAGGGTGAATCGGCGGAAGGTTGATCCGCCGACCGCGGCGGTGCCTGCGCTTCGCGGCACCGTGCGGCAAGGCGAAGGCAGACGAGGTAGAGAGATGCCTTCACTCGTTGCGCAAAAGCATTTGAGGGGCGACTGTGATGTCTGCTAGCCTTGCCATGGTTCATGTTCTTACTGTTTCACTTGCATGTGTAGCTGTAGGAGCTGCGTAGGTGTACATAGTTCACCTCGTCGTTTTTTGCTCAAGGCCAATACTCTTGGCTCAAGTGGCACGTAGCTAGGCGTAGCGCGCTGTCTCACCCGCCGACGCGTCCGCTCGTCTTTGTGAGCGCAAACAGCTGCGCGTGCGTTCGCTCGTTCGTATACGGGCGCTCACAACACTACTACTACTACTACTACTACTACTACTACTACTACTACTACTACTACT